CCGCACACATGTGTATATGATACACGAAACGGGGTTGGAACAAAGTCCGCGGAAGCAGAATATTATGACGGCTGATTTTGAACGTCAATCACTTTTGCAGCCGATCATTCCTTCAGGAACGTGAGAATGAGTTCGTTTGTTAGGGCATGCTAATTCGCAACAGAAGAATGTACAGCGTTGGAAATGATATAGTGAAGGAAGTATTGATGACGTGGTAAGGAATGGAGAACCGCGTTGAACAACGATTCAACTGTTGTGCCCAGTGATTCTAACAAAAAAAAAACATTTCTGATCATCGCTCTGTGAGTGCGGCAGAAAGAGTACATTTTGAGGTAACCTCTACTTACTTACTGAGTTTAGTGTGTTTCTGAAAACGAACTGCATCCAATCCAGCGTTGAGAATATCTTATGAACCCTCGATATACGTCTCACCAAGCCTACTCATCCGGTGAATATGGTCCCCAGATCTACTTGGATACCCTGTTGTAGCAAAATTCAACCTAATTCAATCATCTTTCTCGAGTTACTTATACTTATCTGACCTCAGGTACTCAAATATATTAATCTGATTGGATCATCCAATTTATAGATTCGAATCGACATTTCCCGGCATATTCACAGATTCATATTTCATTCACACAATTCAAGCTCAAGATATCTGCACAGACTTCAGATCCATGAAATATGTCAGTGTTTTTTCATCAAGAAACGTCTGCACAGACTTCAGAACCATGTAATATTTCAATGTTCTTTCATCAAGAAACGCAGTTTCTGAAAGCTGGGTTCGCCCGCTTTTCGTGTTCATCATAACTTGGTAGTGCAAAGCAAAGCTATCCAACATCATGTCCCCTCAATATTGCAGCATACCAATACCGACGACAACTATTACGGAGAATGGAGCCAAGCCAAGTTCAAGAAGGGGCAGACCAAGAATCTATTCCAGCGAGAGTGAGCGCCTGCGAATCAGGCGACAGCGAGGAACATCTCAAGAGAGGGCCACTCGCCTGGAAGCCGATGCGGCGCGCCAGCAACGAAGGCGAAGAAATGAGACTTTGGAGGAGCGAAATGCGAGGTTGCGCGACAGCGCTGACAGACAGAGGCGTAGACGCCTGCATGAGTCGCTTGAAGAACGGGCTTTGCGGCTGCTGGAAAATTCCCAAAGAGAGCAAGAAAGGCGTGATTCAGAAAATGCCGCCCAAAGATCCAACAGGCTTGAGAGAAGCGCTCAAAGAGAGCGTGGAAGGCGTGAGTCGGAGAGTATCGAGCAAAGAGCGACTAGGTTGGCGGGAAATTTTCAGCGGCAGCAGAGAAGGCGAGAGTCGGAAAACGCTGAGGAGCGTCAAACAAGACTCCAAGAACACGCTCGGCTCCAGCGAAGAAGACGGGATTCAGAAGGGGTAGAGGAGCGACGGACGCGGCTTCGCGAGAACGCCCTGCGTCAGCAATCAAGGCGAGCTTCGGAAAACCTCGAAGAGCGGCATGTTAGACTGCAAGAGGTTCTCCAGCGCCAGCGCAGAAGATCACAACGAGAAACCTCTGAGGAACGACAGACAAGATTGCATTCGAACGCTCAGATTCAGCAAAGAAGACGTGCGTCTGAAACTTCGGAAGAACGAGCGCTCAGATCACAAGCGGAGGCGATGCGCCTCCAAAGAAGACGAGCGTTCGAAAGCGCAGAAGCGCGCGCATCTCGACTGCAAGAGGACACTCAGAGACATCAGCGTCGTCGCACTATGGAGAGGAGCGCGAGCGAGCTATTCGGTTACAGTCAAACGCCTTGGCCAACCGCCAACGACGGAGCAGACTTCCAGGATCCACCGGAGCTGCGCTGCTCACGCGCATAACGGGAGTCAACTAATTAGGGGAGCTCAACCAGCGATGTGTAGAATGCGGGGCGTTGCAAGTCCGTTGCGAGGTCAAAGCGAGCCACCCAGGCAAGTTCCGCGAGTGCTGCGACTTAGGGAGATTCACCTTGAACTTTTTCGAGTCTTTTCCTAAGGAGTTGCGCAGGCTCTTCGTGCGTGAACCGGATTCAACTGAGAAATTCCGGAGAACTCAAAAGAACTTCTTGGAAAATATAAGGAACTTCAACTCTGCCCTGGCGATGGCTTCCATGGGTGCGCAGGTCGAGACGTTACAAGGACGGGGGCCTTACTGTTATAGAATCCATGGGCAGGTTTATCATAGGCTGGGACCTCTC